CACGGAGCGCGGGGCGGGGCGCGGGGCCTGAGGGAGGGGGCGGTAACGGGTGGCGCTGGCGCTGAGGCGGCCCTGGAGCCCGCAGCGCCATCACCACCACCGCGGGCGGCCTCGGGTAACGTTAGAGAAAKCGGCTCCAGGGAGAGTGATACAGCCTGAACTGGGACTACAGCCCGCGAGTCAGCGCCCTTTTACCTTCAGTAAGTAATAATTGAACACTTGAAACCMCACCTGTCTGTATAAGTGACACAGCCAGTAGTCCAAGGACACTGTGCTCACAACACTTTTACTACTTGCTGCCTCTGCAAAAACTGAGGCCCCATTTCTTCTCTTCTAGCACCATGTCCCTTCCTTCCATCAAGTGTAAAACCCCCTTCCAAACACCAGTAATGGRTATTCTTCCAGATTTACTATTCTTTTTTAGGACACAATACCCCAAGTGCACAACTGCATGCACCCGTGATGTTAATTGCTCCCCCCAGCACTTCACTGGTGATCTCAGGAGCACCCTCAGTATGGGCTTTCAGCCACGCCACAGCAGAAGAGCAAGTCCGCAACAGACAGCTATTAAAAGGTTTATTTTTTTTTGTCTTCATGCATTACCAATACAAATGCTGTATTGTTCATTTGCCATTGCCATAAAATGAAAAAGTTAAAGTAYTTCACGTGCCCATCAGGCAGCTACTGAAAATACTTACTACTGACTTATGTTCATTTTTCCCAGTCATTTCCTGCCATAGCAGAATCCATCCAAGTAACATGACTACAGCAACCATCAGTCAGTTAAGTATAATGCATGACAGTATAATGGATGACTAAAGGCATCATCATTTTAGCATCTCCTCTTGTACACTTAACAAGAGCAGTGATTAAACCTCTCCCTCCTCCCCACTTTCCCAATTGCCCCAGTTATCTTTTCCTCTTAGTTCCCGACCTTACCTGCTCCATCTCCAGCAGCATTTCAGGCATGGYCTTCAACCACAGGGTGCAGTGGTCTGGGTAACGCCTGGAGCTCAGCAGCCTGTCCGTGCTCCGGGCTGCAGGAGCTCCAGGACTGACCTTTGAGACAGGAGCTCTGCCCTGTGCTCAACACATGCAGCCAAATCCTTCCCTAAGCTTCAGCTTATCCCCYAGGGTAGCAGCTAAGTCCACCAGGGTGAACTTACACTTCGATTGTTTATCGGTACAACTRTTGTGCACACTAGCCTGATCTGAATCAGACACTGCATCTCATGCCCTTTTCCTTTTATAAGAAACAGGAGATGGGACCTAATTCCATAAGTCCATTATTATAAGAACTCCCCATTTTTCTTCCAAGTAAAACTTCAGTCATATGGTCAAGACATTGGAATATATGATCTGAAAATTAACAAGTTCTTACACAAATGTTTTGRAATATTTGTATCTAACATGAAAATCACCAAATCCTGTAAAGACTAAAGCCAATAGAAACACCAGTAGCTTTTTGAAAAATCTTCAACATGGCCAACAGCAAAATCCTGTTCCAGCAAATTCCTATTCAAAATGCCTCTCCACACTTGAGAAACAAAACTACTTCAACTCAGGTTAATCCTTAAGCTTCAGCTGCACAAGTTTAAGTCATCCAGCAAATACAAAGGTGGCATTACACAATATCATACCAGTTTATTTACTGGACTTTAATATACYTTTTCAATACCTTGTTTTCTGAGGGATGACTATTTTCTACAAACACCTGATACCAGCTTAAGCAGCACTGCATTTCACATGCTAAGCTTCATCAATTCTTTCTTTGCAGCACCTTCACACAGGATTTTACTGGCTGCAAGAGCAGCCAGTTCCACTTATTTCATATGAGCTCCCTTCCTTTGGTTTGTACTGCAGAGTTGCGAGGAATTCGTTCMTGTTTTTCAGTCCTGTTTGTACAATCCATATACAAGATTTCTGTACAATTAGGCAATACACCATCTTTGAGAGACTAGTACTGAGTTTTGGTGTGTSCAGTTACAACTAGAACACAATGTCACTTAGACAGCTCTTTTTAATTTCTAGCTTATGAATCAAGTAGGCACAYAGTAGTTAAGTTAAAAACAAGTTTATTCTGCTATAGTGTACTTAGAAGAACAGCTAAACAGATCCTTTTAGGTTGCCAGACTCCCAACATACACAACAAATGCACCCACAACACAGCCAAGCTCCCACCCCACAAAGAGCAGTTGTTTTTCTCCTTCYCTTACTAAGGGAGACGAGAACATGGATCTCAGGCCATTTCTTAGTCTCTGACTGCAGTTATTGTATAAAGGGCTGGAACATAGTCATCCATAGGCTCCAACTAAGAGTATTATTAAGCAACGTCTTTTTAAAAATAGATCACTCTATATCATTTTGCTGCTACTCTAATTTGTATTATAAACAGCTGTCAGCTTCACCTTTCAGCATCCTGTGAAGTCTTCACTGCAACATGAATTTCTTCCCTTGGCTTTCCTTAAAACCAGGAGACTAACTTTTGTTTCTGTTACCTACAATGAAAAAACATASTAAGTTTGTGTTCTTGACTCCTCCCCATCACATCTAGCCATCATTTGTCTGCTGGAAGATGACTAGGGAGGGCTTCATTTTCCATGTGAAAGGCAGGACCGGGGTTGCATATCCTGGAAGGTCCTCTCACATAAAGGGCCATCTGCACCATTGCTTTTTACTCTTATACCTACAGCAGTAGAAGCACCTGAAAGACAGCAACTAAAAGGCAAGTCTCACACCCTGCGCTCAGGTCCAACACGAGTCAGTTCATGGCCACACTTAAACACCCCAGTGTATGAGCTACATGTGGCAAGGGGCTGCCCCAACAAATAAACCCTGAGCAATGAAAGGGCAGGTTCACATCTTGCAACATTGCACAGGCAAGCTGATGCCTTGTAATCTGCTCCCCTCCCATTAAACACACTTTCTCTTGCCTCACATGACACAGGCCTTGCTTAGTTCAAGTTAGTAAAACAGGACTGAGAAGCACTCTTTAARAGGTAGACGTAGCCTTCATCTGCCACAGATGAGACAGGAAAAAGCATCTCTTTTTCCCAGATCAAGTAGACACTCTTTAAAACCAACCATAGTTCCTGCAATGTTCAAGCTTACCTTCTTTGAGAGGGGTTTTGGGAGGAATATTTTCCTTGCTCTCATGCTGGAAGGCTTTCGAGGGATCAAACCGTCTAATGCCCTGAACTGCATGTAGCTGCTCTTGAAGATCCCTGCTGGTTTGCCTCTCTTTGGCTAGGAGTGCACGTAGTTTTGAGACATCCTAAGGTGGGGACAGGAAAAAAAAGGATAAAATATCAAATACTTCACAAGTCAGAATAGGTACAGGAAGAAAGCCTACTGCATCATTTGCTGTAACAATACTCAAAAGAACAGATACCTATTAAGTGACCAGTTAGCACCATTGTCTAACACAACTAAACAKTAAGCTTCAAACCCTATTGGCCACCCTAGGTGGCCAATACCCTATTTAGTGTTTTTAGCAGATAGCTTGGTAAGCCTAAAATCTCCAAAACATAAGAAAAACCCAACTGATCTTCAAAGGAATCTTGTCACGTRTCTAGTCCAAGCTAAGGCAGATGATTTGGTTTCTAGAGACATGAATCTCTACTCATGGTCATCTAACACCCCCTCCAATGTAATTATCTATTCATAKCACAGAATTTAAGCACACTAAGGACAGGTTCCCCACACAAGCGCAGATCGGTCTCTAAATTCTCAGAAGAATCATCCGGAGCATCAGTAAGTTGAAAATCCTGACTATTAACAGACCTGTTTCAAATGTGTGTTTTCCTCCTTCAGCTTCATAACATGCTTGATTTTTTGTTTCTGGTTCTGGTGGCCAAGCAGTTTAGCATATGCATCACTCAGTTTATTCAGTTCTTCTTGAGCTGCACCATGCTCATTTAAGAGAGCATTTTTCTCTGCTTCAAAAGCATCAAGYTGTTGCTGAAATACACATTAAAAATATTAACATTTTTAGTAGAAGTCGATGGAAGTTTAGACTAGTTTAGAAAGAATGGCTGCTCAGGGAACAGTAGCTTTGGCAGCCAGTGTCAGRTAAAAGCCTTTGAAGAGCAAATAACTTGTTTATTTGGGCAGTGCCTGAGAAGTTCCGTCAACTGTACCCAATCAAGACAGTAACAAACATCAATGTTGTGACAGACCTGAAAAGGTTTAGTTTTCTTATGCAAATCTTCATAAAGAGTACGCCAGGTCTTGATCTCTTCTTTTAAGTCAGAGTTCACATCTTSATTTGTGTTTTTCCTAAAATCAAAGACAGTTTTGTGATATTCATGTGTTAGAAAGCTTATRCCATTTCTTCACTGTCCAACTGGGGCACCGGGATTGAAGAGATAAGCTTGAGGCACAAGTTACCTGGACCTTTCCTCTTCAAGACTTTCCAGGTCTTGAGCTTGTGCTTCCAGCTTTCCCTGAAGCTTAGTCATTTCTGCAAGGTAAGACTCCTTGGCTTTCTCTATTTCGGCTTCTTTCAGTGCCAGCTTGGTCTGGGCTTCCAAAAGCATCCTGAGAAAACATTATCTATCTTGAATGAAGGCATATATCGAAATATATGCTGTTAGAAGACCATTTTGGTCAAGGCTTCCTATATTAACTGCTTAATGCTGTTAGCCTTTTGTAGGAGATAATTCATTTGACTTTTTAATGCAARAGGAGCATTGCTTGAAATACTTTCAGTCTAAGCAAGATTAGGTAAGACTGTTTGTCTAAGATGAGTTGAAGGATTCAGGTCAATTCTACAAAGGTTGCCCTCCCTCTCCTCTTTTGATCAAGTTGCAATATTTGTTTTATCATCTTGAAGACCAAGAAGCTTCCCAGCCATGCCCGCGAGTCAGCAAACCCAACAGGAGTTCAATCCAACTGTTCTCATCAGCTGCAGTGGGAGCTTGAGRCAACAATGAACAGGTAAGGAGAAAAAAGCTACAACATTTTGACTACCGTTTTAGGCAAGCTCAGGAAAAATCTAATGGTGGATAACCCTAAAAATACTGGCAGAACTAAAAAAGCCATTTTGTTATCAAAACATCTGATAAMCCGTAGTACACTCAGGCAAGACAGAAATACCCAATTCAGACGGGACAGAAAGATATTTCTTTTGTTTACTAATACTTTCATCTCTGACTGCAGTAGCCAAGAAGAGAAATATCAGCTTCTAAGCACTCATTTTATTTGACACAGGACCATGCGAAGCCATAGGCAGCAGGCAAACCTCAGCTGGTATTCTCTAGCTTCACCAAGTTTCTTGACCCCATACCTCGCACATTCTTCTTGTGCTTTGCTTTTAGTGTATTCTGCTTCCTGAAGTAACTGTAAGGTATCTTGACCTACTTTTCTCTGACTGGCAACCTCTCTTTCCAGTGATATCTTATCCAGTTTAAGAGCAGATATTTCTTCAGATGTGTTTTTTTTGTAGCTAGGAGGAAAAAAAAACAAATTGAGACCAAAAAACAGACCTTTGGGCCTTACAGGAGCAACACTAATTGCACTGAAGAAAGCCATACTCTATTTTCACTTCTAAACCATCTATAGGTGAAGCTTGCATCAAAAAATATCCTACTCATCTCCTTGAGGTGCTTTTGCACACTTGCAAAAACTATCAAATCTAAAACATGATTCCAGCCTGCGTCTCGGGAAGGGACATGTGCAATAATATCCTCCAAGTACATCTGCTGGCAGACCATGACTATGTCGTGTTATTAAACTTCAWATCCTTCCAAGTACACAGCCTGCTCCTGTCTTTTGCACACTATCATGTAGAAAATCTTCTCCACACATTATTTTCAATGACTTTAGGAAAATAATTATTCACTTCAAGTTCTAAGTCTGAGCAGGAACTAATTTTGTAAACATCCTTGGTACAAAAAAGCATCACAACATATTAGGATTGACACCAAGGTTCAAGAGCAGTTCATTACTGGACTTGCTAACAGTTCAGAGTAAGAAACATTAGCTCCTTAAACCTATGGCATGACACCAGACAGGTCACTAAACTGGCCTAGTATGCAGGAACACCAAGTCAGTTTGTCCATGCCAACTAGTATTACATTAAATACTGCTTTACAACTGTGACACACACTTGAAAAACACTTCTGGATCCAAGTGAAAGCCAATTCTGGATCTTAATGCAATTCAATACCTTTCAAATTCAGCAATAGTCTCTCCAAGTTTGCGCAGTGTATGGCTGTGCTCCTCATGGATTTGCAGGATAGCATTCCTGTGTGTTTCTGCAAGTTGCTCCAGATCAGCATTCTTCCTGTAACACAMGTCAGCATTCCTTACTGGAGCTAAGTAAGCCTGAATTAGTGCAGTGCTCTTGTCATTTACTGTGTTTAAACTTTGCTGTGGCAGCCGTACATGTACTTTGACAGAAACCAGCAATTTGCCTACCACAGCTTTACAAGCATTCAAATCCTATCCTTATATCAAATGTAGATATTCCTTCCGTCTTAATTCCCTAAAATAGCTGTAGACAATTACCCTTTTATTATTTGCTAGAAATCTTGCAAGAACTAGAACAGCTTCCTTAAAAAGACTTATGTCTTCCCTAGTGAGTGCCCTCTCCACAATGGGAGCATTCAGTATGACCCCAAGGTGCTCATCCTTAGATACACAAGGATACTGCGACAGTACCAGCAGATTGCGCCTGTCTCAGCAAGCTAGGTTTAGCAGTTCCATATTAAAACATCCTTAAACCAAATGCAAATCAGTGATATGGATTCCACCTCATTTATCAGTGAGTTACCAGGAAGAAAAACTTATTTCTGCTCAGCCCTCAAAAATGCAATTGAGACAAAACCTTTTTCTTTTTTTTTTTTTTAACATTTTGTAAAAGCTCTCAAGTCAGGCAGTTCTACAAACCTTTTCAATTGCTCTTCCATTTGAGCAAGCTCTGAGGCTTTAGATTTGGTTTCTTGTTCCAACCGCTTCACCAGCTTCTCAGCTCTCTTCTCCTTCACATGCAACTTGTCCAGCTCATCCATTGCCCCTTTCAGCTCTTCTTCCAGGAAAAGCCTCTCCTTGGCTACTTCTTCTTGAAGATCCAGTAACTTCTGGCGTAYCGATGCAGAGGATTCCTGCAGACCGGAGTAGAAGATTTCCTAATTGCTGGTACTTTGCTAGTCTTTACGTATGCCTATCTTCAAGGCCAGCTTCAAGTATTTCAGCTTTTAAAATAAGAATAAGGGTACATCTAAGCCAAGAAAAACAACAACTCCACAGCAGACCTGTGACCGTCATCAAGACTTTAGGGCATGCAATTTCTGCCAGCAGTGGCTGTTTCTACACTCCMCAGTTAGTGACTAATGCAGCCACTTGAACATCATCAGAATTAGAATACTTTGTGCTCGTTATTAAATAAGTCAAAAGGCTGTAGTTCAGAGTTTATTTACCTTTTCCTTCTGCAGCTGAGAGAGAACATCCTCTTGTTTCTGAAGCAGGTTTTGGAGCTCTTGCTCTTTTAGGAGATATTTTTTTTTCAGATCTTCTATTTCAGCAGTCATACTCTGGTATTTCTCTCTGCTCTCAGAAGACTCTTYCTCTGTGTAGACAAGTTGAAGAACTAAAACTCTGCAACTATCTRTGTTGATCATAGTACACCCATTCCATCCTTTCAAGCTATTTAGGCAACGGGAAGTACTTCAACCCCCTGGAAGCTCCTCACAAGTGGCTGAAACATGTGATGAATATTAACAACTGCAATCATAGGGACAGCCTTTTTTACATSAGCAGTTTAGTTGGGAATAAATAATTAATTTGGCAAGGATAATCTTCTCCCTACTACTATCACTAGAAAGCCGAGTGGTATACAGAGAGCAGAGCACTGGCACCAAGCTGCCTTCCCTCCCCCTCCCGCCCCCCCCCATTTCTTCTGTGAGGTTTCTTGTGGAAGAGACAGAGGTCAAGATGTTCCTACGCGCATTRCCAACACCTCATTTGGAGCATGCCCCTACCAACCCTTAGCAAAGGGAAGCACATTAGTGCTCTTTGTTAGCAAGGCGTGAATTCCAAGTCAGGCACTGTTCAGACAAGTGGTCATCCTTTCACATGAACAACTTCTATTTCCACATTACCCACCTTAGTACCGCTCTACAGAAGGCTATTTTTAAGGTATAAGAAGTTACACTCTGGGCAGTTTGTCTCCATACTGATAAAAACATGCTGGGTTGTTTTCAATAAGACCTCAGAGACACTGCACTCAAACCAGTCTGCCTTAACATTTTAAAACAACCCAATTTCAAGGTTCTAACAGATTTGCAACTGGTTCTTACCCATGCCAAGTACTAGCAATTACCTTTTTCCTGTTCAAGTAGCTGACATCTTTCCTTAAGTTCATTTATTAGTTTAAATGCCTCTTCTTCTTTCCTCTCAAAGGAATCCTTCAAGATTCCCATGTCTTGATCTTTCTTGATCAGCATCTCTTCCATCTGGGCAAGGTCCAGTTTGTATTTTTCTACTTTTTCTGCAACACTACTGTATAAGAAAATTTGGTTGTGTTACCACTATTTACTTTGCACGTTTACACTTCAGTACAAAAAGAAATAGCTTTATTTAAAAGGCAACTCTATAAATTTTTATCATGACCAAATACAATAGGGAGTCAACCTTAACTTACCTGTCCCAAACCACTTATTGCACATTAAGAGAACTACTTCATGTGTAGYTTATTTCAACATTGACATCTTTTTTCCAAATTCATTACATACGAGCATTCTATTATACTCTTGCACKATATTGTTTAGCTCAGAAAAGCAGACATTTGTAAAGGTGTTAATACTCCTTTCCATTATTTCTAGGAGAAAAACAAGCCAACCCAAAACCACCCAGCTTATTCCCCSACTCCAGTCTCATATAGCTACATGATTGTTGCCTACATTCTACATTAACAGCCATAACCAGGGCTTCATCTCCCAGTCTTTTAACTCACTCAATCCCTCCCAAACAGGTTACTTTTCTTACCTGAGCTCTGTGATATATTCCAAGAGCTTTTCGGTGTCAGACTTCTCTTCAACCTTTTCTCTTTCAGTAGCAGATCTGAAAGCAGAGAGTTGCCATGACTTGTTAAACACACAACTGAAAGCTATTTGACTGCAGACAGGATGACATCCTTGCATCACAAGTTAGACACTGAACAAATGCTCTCCATAATCTAGTTCGACAAAGTGATAGTGACTGTGGAGAAGCATGTGCTGTCTTTCATGGCTTGTTTCTGTTGCACATCATCTCCTTATTTGCACTAAGGCTGCGGAGCCATGTGTCACCATCAGCTGTGCCACATGGGCTGCATTAGTTAAGCTTAGTCRAGTTAAGCAATTTCCCTCTGTTAATGGCAGTGTGCACATTTTCAGCTTTAGGTATTGTCAGTTTAAGTGATAAAATGCCTGCTCATATTTGAGCACTTGGACATTCCAATTGGCCTGCCGAAACACAAAACAGCAACTATGGAGCAACTCCGAGGGTATCAGAAGTGCCCTTTAATCCTCTTACCAAGAGAGAAGTGACTAGTTTACATGATCTTTGCCAAATTTCTGGGTTCTGAAATAATATCTCAACTCAAGTGCTACTGCTTTATTCTTCYTTCTTGTCGTCAATTTGTCTAGTCCAATAGAAACTAAATATTCAAATGCTAAATATTCAGACGTCTTAAGACAAGTCTTTTGCAAGAACAGTAACTCCTTTTCTTACCCTGCACCCAAGTAAACAACATTCAGCCAAATCTCACTGGAAGGAAGAAGATTTCAGGTGTTTTTCTTGCATCAAAAGGTTAGATCTATTAGAGAAACAGGCWCTTTCATGTTAGGCCTATAAAAATGCAATCAACTGTAAAACACCTTGCCATAAAACCTCKTCCAGGTCACATGGACTAATAACCATTCCCTCTTGGTAGACAAAGAGGGAAATAGCCTGCATTTTCCCTGAGGTAAACATGCACTGTAAGGTATCAATGTTAAGCACAGCTMGCAGATATAACACCTAGGTCAAGCCCCTTCCCCAGTACTTACAGTTTTTCTTCTAACTGTGCTACTTGTCCTTTTGAGTGCTCTAGATTCCTTTGTACTTCCTGCAACTTCATTTCCATATCTTCCTGCTTTGCAAGAGCAGTCTAAAAATAATAAAAATTAGCAGCCAAATACCACCAAAGTGGGACTTACTAAGGAAATGAATACTTCAAAAGACAGTGGGAAGCTCACAGTACTCTGTACAGTACTGAGGATCTTACCTTTTCCTTGGCATCTCTCTTGGTTCTGAGCTTCATTAATTCCAAGCACAGGCTGCTCATTTTCTTCTGCATGCCATCCTCAGACAGCTTATTAGAAATACAAAAAGACAACTGAACCTAACCSTAATCTCAACTTTTTTCCAGAACCACTTAATTCAGCGTAACCCTTCCATAAACAGCACTCAGCTTCCCCTGCCCTCAAGGAACACATTGGCCAGCCCAACTCCATCTTTAGCCAGACATGCACAAAAGGGTAAGGTTGAGGTGCTGGGGCATGGGGCAGGAAAGGGGGCCAGTGTGGAACCAGCTGCTGATTCATACTGCCCACAGCTAAAGATGACTGCAGAATGAAGTCAATGAAAGCCAAGTCAAAGCCAAGAGGAGCTCAGCTGTTGGACGGTACCTTTGATTTCAATAATTCATTGGTTCTTGTTAGTTCAAGAAGTTGCTTTTTCAGGCATGCTACATTGGCCAAAAGGGATGTTTTCTCTTGCACCGCAGCTGTCAGCTTGGCTTCAGTCTTGGCAAAATCCTCATCCAAAGCCTGAAGTTTTTTATCCTGTTCCCCACGCTCTCTCACTAATGCACGGATCTGAAACAAAWTTATTATTTTGAAGTCATGTGAGCCAGAACTTAAGTATTACACATTTCCTGTATTCCCGTCCAAGTTAACTATTTCAACATTTTTAACCCATGTCATTCAGAATATTTTCAGCTCTGTCACYCATAGCAAAAGCAACAAAACAATTACTGTAATCCTGAACTCATGTAAGGTATCTGAAACTTGAACCTGTAGCAGAATTGATCTCTCCTCTCTACTGAGAGAATGAAAACATTATAACTTGACATTTGAGCTATACCAAACAGACATAGTCCCAGCACCAAGAGGGAATGCTAACTGCTCTAAACTTTCAATTCTAGTCAAAAAAAGAAACCCACAGAAAGTCATTTAATAATACCATTCTCTTATCAAGTCGCATAATATCCTCCTGAAACATAGAACTGTCCTTTCTTGTTTAAGAGATRAGCTACAGGGCTGTTGAGGGTCATTAAGAATGAAAGTAACTCTGTTCATCTGACCCCCTCAATACTTCCTACCTACCACAACCTTTCAGAAGCTCTGTTCTTCCGTAAAGCATTTGCCAATTTGTGTATGAAAGGCCAATTCTGCCAGCTTTTATTTTTCATTTCCAGAGAACTGCACTCACACCATGTCTTCTTACCTCCTTCTCCAGTGTCTTCTGCTTTTTTTTCTCTTTCATAAGCATGTGATCTCTTCTAGGCTTCAGACTTCCACTGGCTGGCTTTTGGAAACAGATTAATTATAATCATTTAAGTTACCCTTACAGATCACCATAASAGGTCAGAATAAGAGGTTTTACTCTACTCTCAATTACTAAGCAGCACAAATTAAAGCATCTTCCAGCTGCTTCTTTAACCCAGTGAGGCATGAAAGTAGATGCCATCACATATCCAGCACTATCTAACSACAACTATAAAAAGAGACTATGGACTCTTAAGTAATGACACTAACTAATGAAGCATTAATTCAAGTTTAGCTGGAGTGAGTAGTACTAGAGACAGCACAGTACAAAGCCTTACTATTGATCCAAGAGATGCAAGTCTTCTTCCCGTGAGAGGAGTAGACATATTCTTTTCACTATTCAGGTTGGTTTCAACTGAAAAATAATGCAGATAAAGGTGTATGAAGCAGSTGTGCATGTCTATGATGAAGCAAGTTTCACCAACTCAGACAAGGTGTATGTASAAGAAAGAATGACATCTCATTATTAGACTCCCCATTTCACAACTGAAGCCCAGTTATTTTCCTACTGCAAACAAGCTGTTCAGCACTCTGTTCAGAAACAAGCTACAAAGTAACAAAAAAGTCTGAAAATGCATTTTCTGGCAGGTTTCCCCATCCCCAGTCCAAAGTCACACTGTTTATTTTCAGCTGAGAAACAGTGTATATCTGGAAGGAAAACAAACAAAATGGAAAATATCACTCCTTGAAAGCAAGGTTACAGAAGCAGCTAATTGCAAAAAGAAGACCCCATAGACTCTGAAAATCACATGGAATGYTTCTTTTAGACAAAAACTTAAATCACAAAAATCATGTTTTCGCAACTACTAAGTCCATGAGCTGGAAAGCAGCCCATAAATCCCCACCAAAAAGAAACCAAAGCCTTAACCAGCAGGAGGAACAAGGCTCTTACACTGCTGTTTTTCCAAGACTCTGTTGGTGCATTTTGTACCAGCTTTCAGCACTACTTACTCGTCTGCCGTCTAACCCGTTTGCGCGTCTCTGAAACCAGGGACATTCTTGCTGTATCTGAAGATTTGACATCACAGGATCCTGGCAGCAGGGGACACACAAAAAATGGAATATTTACAAGAATAATAAAAAAAAACAAAAACAAACACCAAAATAGTAAGCTGAACCTAGCAAGACATTTAAATTAGACCAGCTCCAAATTTGACAMCAAAGTAAGTAAAAACCCTCACAGGAACCACAGTATCAGTTTTGCTCTGCTAACAGGGAGAAAGCTCTGCAAGGACAAGGTGGGTGAAGAATAAAGGCTTCTGCAGAGCTAGAGAGATCACTGTCAGCTGCTAAACCTGGCTTTTCAGAGGGTGCACCCACTCACCACTTAAACTGTGCTTTACATACAGAATATTTGACAACTGTTTTCATATTCTATTTGAAAGAACATGTTATTTAAATACTCATGAACTGCAAACATCTATTTTTAACACTTAGGGTACCTGTGCCCTTCCCTCCCTATCCCCCCACCAAAAAAACCCCACACCTCTTGGAGAAAAAAAAAAAAAAAAAAAGAAAAAATACAGAAGGAACCTGACCACAGAAGCAACCTGACCACAAACTCTTTCCATACTGAAAGCAAGGCAGCCGCCAGCCCAGTAAATGCCCCTTGTCTGCTTTGCTTTTCAAGCTAAGAGCAGAAAACAACCACCCAGCTTAATATTATCCAGAGAATGRGCAGTACAACTAAACCAGCAAGTGGTCACGGCCGAAAACGGGTCAGAAAAGACGACTATAGGAACCAGCTCCACTGTGAACATTTGCAGCTCGCTTTTGGCTTTGCGCGGCGACAGCGCTCAGAGAGCGGCCGCCAGCTGCCCCAGCGGGAGCCCTCGCGCCCGGAGGATCAGAGAAGGCAGGAGCAGCCGAGGCTGAGGGGCCCGCGCACGTACCGGGGCCGTCGTTGAAACGCCGCAGCGAGGCCCGGGCGAACGCCATGTCCGCGACAAGCGGCCGCCGCGCCCGCTCTCCGCGTTCAAATGGCACCAACGGCCGCCGCGCGCCGCCGGCAGCCAATCAGCTCCCGCGGAGCGCGCCCGCTCGGCCAATCGCGGCCGGCCTCGCGCTGCGCACGCGCGTCGCCC